TCCAGTGAAATATATTTATGTTTGTGGTTGTAATGTGACAAAATATGGAAAAGTTCAAGGGGTATGAATACTTTTGCAAACCACTGTATCTATGTTTAGCTAAAAGAACTTATGCTAATTAAAGAAGAATACTAGGGGTTTGGGCTTAAGAGATGAATGAACCAATTGGCGGGCCAAACTTTGGTCACTCGCAGGCCGGATGTGGCCCACGGGCCGCCAGTCGAATAGCCCTGCTTTATAGGATCAAAAAACGTTATGAATTTTAACAGTGAAGCCCCAAAAAGTTGCGTTTCACAGTTTGCGGATTGTGGAATTAAACTTTCGCAGATGTTTTTAGGAAACCTAACTACTCATAGTTAGCAGTAATCTCCTTAATATTGACGAAACTAAAAATACAGTACAGTAAGGAATGTCTATTTTTTTCTCTCTCTCTCGTGTTTTTATGGGTTTTCAAGCTAAATTATTAAGAAAAATATAACTGACTAATTTTGTAAGATGTTCAATTCAATTCTTTATAAAAAGCACAGTAGAGTGCATGATGCATGCCCTGTGTCCATGCTTCACCCAGAGTGCAGCATTTCCACTTATATAGTTTACTGTACAGTGCCGTGTGGTGTGTAGCTGCTGTTTAATTATTGTGTTCTTTTGTTTGGCTGTTACTGCATTAATATGCCACCCAAATGCACTGTAGGCCTTTTCTGAACCACATCCAGTATTCAAATTCTTTCAATATTTGCGGGTCTTCTAAAAAAGTAACCTCCGTGAAAATCATGGCTTCACTGTATTACTGTTTTAGCTGCAGCTCACCAAATTGATGTGCATCACCAATCTGCCTCTCATTGAGTCTTGATGTAGGTTAACACCAATACATCGAAATCTCTATATGGACTACAGAAGCCTTGTGTTTACCTTGGAAATCTCTACAAAAGCCACTGACATAAAGTTCAAGAAGTATGTCAAAGGATGAGAAGTCAGAGGCCTTGGCTCCCCCTTCAAATATTTCAACTGACTGATGACCCCTGGCTATGTTCACACTGCAGGTCTTAAGGCTCAAATATGAGTCTTTTAAAAAATCAGATTTTTTGGCATTTTTTAAAATGTCCATCCCCTCTTCACAGCCCTGATGCGACTTGCAAAGGCAGAGTATGATGTGGTGTCACATTCAACTTGCTGTTTACAGAGTTAACGAAACATTGATGCTACTTGTTAGCATGTCAATTCTGAAGTTGTTGTGCAATCAGAGCCAATTAAATAACAGTTCAGTGTTTATATCTGAACCTGACTCTGACGGGATGCTCCGGAGCAGCTTTTTATTTTTGGAACAAAGCGACATGCTGAAAGTAAAGTATTGATTGAACAACTTTGGTATCGATACATTCCGACTACATTACCACTACGTATGTTTCTGTGGATTCTCAATCATCCAGGACATAGAAAATTAAAAGAACAAAGATGAAGCAACTGGACTTCTGTTCTGTAGCCAAAGATGTGTGAAGCTACGCAATTAAGCTGTATGAATCAAGGTTAATGGTAATAAAAGGTATTCGACCGTGTCCCTCGGGGACTCCTGTGGGGGGTACTCCGGGAGTATGAGGTACCAGGCCCATTGATACGGGCTGTTAGGTCCCTGTATGACCAGTGCCAGAGCTTGGTCCACATTGCCGGTAGTAAGTCAGACTAATTTCCGGTGAGAGTTGGACTCCACCAAGGCTGCCCTTTGCCACGATTCTGTTCATAACTTTTATGGACAGAATATCTAGGCACAGCCAAGGTGTTGAGGGGATCCGTTTTGGTGACCTTAGGATCACATCTCTGCTTTTTGCAGATGATGTGGTACTATTGGCTTCATCAGATCGTGATCTCCTGCTCTCACTGGAGTTGTTCGCAGCCGAGTGTGAAGCGGCCGGGATGAGAATCAGTGCCTCCAAATCTGAGACCATGGTCTTGAGCCAGAAAAGGGTAGGTTGTCTTCTCCAAGTTGGGGAGGAGGTCCTGCCCCAAGTGGAGGAGTTTAAGTATCTCGGGGTCTTGTTCACGAATGAAGGAAGAATTGAGCGGGAGATCGACAGGCGGATTGGTGCTGCGTCTGCAGTAATGTGGGCGCTGAACCGGTCTGTCGCGGTGAGGCGGGAGCTGAGCCAGAAGGCGAAGCTCTGGGTTTACCGGTCAGTCTACCTTCCCACCCTCATCAACGGTCATGAGCTTTGGGCAGTGACTGAAAGAACGAGATCGCGGACACAAGCCGACAAAATGAGTGTTCTCTGCAGGTTGTCTGGGCTCTCCCTTAGAGATAGGATGAGAAGCTCGTTCATCCGGGAGGGACTCAGAGTAGAGCCGCTGCTCCTCCACGTCGAGAGGAGCCAGTTGAGGTGGCTCGGGCATCTGGTAAGGATGCCTCCTGGACGCCTCCCTGGTGAGGTGTTCCGGGCACGGCCCTCTGGGAGGAGGCCCAGAGGAAGACCCAGGACACGCTGGAGGGACTATGTTTCTTGGCTGGCCTGGGAACACCTTGGGATTCCCCCGGACAAGCTGGTCCAAGTGGCTGGGGAGAAGGAAGTCTGGATCTCCCTGCTTAGGCTACTGCCCCCACAGCCTGATCCCGGATAAGCAGCAGAAAACAGATGAACGGTTAATATTTTTGCATCAATCTCACCCCACCATCATTGACGTAAATTTTGGACGAAATTCAACTCGAGCGTTCAGACTGCAGTCATATTGAAAACATTAGATACTGTATGCATCCAATTTAGTACCATATACTGAAACAGCATGAGTTGGACTTGAAAATATTGGATTTGTCACGTTCAGACTGTCATAAAAAATGATATGGGTTGCATAGAGCAAAACAAATCAGATTTGGGTCCCACTTGCCAGCAGTGTGAACATAGCCTAGGACTGCATTATTCTGATAACACAAAACAAAAGATGCATTTTCAATGCATGCATTCTTCTTGGATACTTTTTATGTTTTCCCATTTGTGTCTTTTAGATCACACCATATAAAAATATGCCTCGTGGGTCCTAATGTTGATGTTTCTTGTTAAGTAAGATAAAGGGACTTCTCACATTGTGTTGTCACAATCATTAGCCCATCTGGAGGGCTTTGCCATTATCAGAGATTCACTCAACAAAAGAGTATAACAACAGCCATCTAAAACCATCCAAGCTGACAGCTTCCGTGAGAGCTTCTCAGAGACACACGCACACAGGCTGATGAAGATGCACATGGCTCGTGCTCCCCATGAGGACGTCTCGTATGTTCGCTTTTGTTTCACGGAGCTAATCTATTACTATGCACACCCTTCTCCACTACATGAGCTGCTTTCAATTTACACCGTTGTTCTCGCAGTCTGTTCCAATCTGCTGTTGTTTTAATTGCCTCACCCTGGCAGAGCCAAATGCCACTCCTGCCAGGAAAATGCAACGTGTCTCTTAATGAAGAAAACAGACAAGATGCAACTGACTGAGAAAGATGGGGATGCCAAGAGAAAGACAAAAAAGTGGAGAGACAACTTGAATTTGTGCAAAACAGCAAAGCATAGACAAAGAGGAAAAGGAAGCACCATTTTATGTTGAGTTATACCATGTTTTTTTGCTATTGTGGCAAAAATCTAGGCTATAATATACATACTGACTGTACCTTGATACAACTGTCTCAAAGCTGCAGTATTACACACATCAACCTTACTAGCTAGAGTCATTTGCTGTACACACTGTTTTCTACTTCACAAACAACATAAACTTTGACTCCTCAATATAAAAAATGCCTTTTTTTTGGCCCAGAATGGCAACAATGTCTTCAAATGTGGCCTGATTTAGAAGGTGGAATGTAATAAAGATTTACAACAAACATGCAATGCATTCTATTTGTACTTGGAAATATTATTTTTAGGAAAAAAACAGCAAAGAAACATCCACACTTTAGTTGTTATTAACCAAATACTTAGAAGCACCTTTAAGATTGTAAAATGTTGGGGAAAAATATATTCAGCCTTACCTGAGGATCTTGGGTAAGTGTAAGCTGAAAGAAAATAGAATTGATTTATGTTTAAATATTCAATTCAATTCAACTTATGTGTGTGAAGGATTTCCAAATGTCATTTAAGAGCTTTTAAAAAAAGGCCTTACGTTCAGAGTAAACGATGATTCGGCTTATGTAGTCCCCAATGCTGTAGGTGGTGATGGGGGCCAGTCGGACCTCATAGGACATAGGGATTCTCAGATCTGATATTGTGTGGGACATAAGCACCCCACTTTCTGGCTCCTTCCCCTTCAGGTCTATTTGCGTTGACATCACATTTTGCTTGTCCTGTATGAACAAAAAAACATGAAGAGATGCAAACATTTCCAGTTTGGGTTCTATGGACACACCTCAACACATTTTGCAATTCTGAGCATTTATTCAGACAGTTCTGTCTTGCTTCACTTATTAACAGCATTAGAGGCCAGAATATGTGATGTCCCTTCAAAGCTTTCCCTGAGCAATTTGTACTCTAAAACACACATGTTGGTTCAGCTGCAGAGCACTCAGTAAGGTAAATGATTTGTCTTAGCAATGCCATGACAAGGACTTAGAAACCACTATGAGGAGTAAAAATTAAAAAACATATTTCTTTGCCTGTCACTAGTCCGTTATTTGTGCTTTTCCTGCTGCATTGTAATGCATAACCTAATCACATTACCCCCACATAAACAAGTGCAAATCAATTAAATTGGCTGTGCATCATGGAAATGAAAATGTAAAATGATTATGATGTTAAGCAAGTCATTGTTGTCTCATTTTTTTAAGTTAAGTTGGGGCTTTTTTCTGTCAGCATTGCATTTAATAAAGAGCTATTGCAGTGTTATTCCACCCACGGAGAGAAGGATCCATTAGCTGTGTATCTGCCTCTGATCCCAGCTACTTAAAGACCTGACTGTGAACTCAATCTAATGCATTAGGTCAGCCACTTCACCATAACAACTTGGTACACCCACAGCATGCCATTATCAGGTAACACATAAAGTAGAGCAGCATGTGTGTGTGTGTGTGTGTGTGTGTGTGTGTGTGTGCAGGTGTGTGTGTGTGTGTGTGTGTGTGTGTGTGTGTGC